ACACAAATATTTTGTGTCTACACACTTTCATAATACAGATCAGAGAATAAGACCTTTGCAAAATGCCAATTTTAACCTGCAAAATGTTCTTGTAGTGTACAGTTCCATCCATCATCCGTGCTACAGCTTGGCTTTGATCCAGTGGGATTCATGGCATACAGAAGTGGCTTGCTAGCTCAGGCCTCTGAATGTCTGTTAGCCACCCTAATTAAAGGCATGATGGGATGTGATGTATGATTCTAATTGTGCCTCCTGCCGTGTTACATGTGCATGGCAGGAGGCACAACTGTGAGATTGGGGGGTCAGATTCTAATTATGCCATACTGATAAGGGCTCCCAGCTGTGGGAACGCATGGAGCCTTTGGCTGGGATATGCTCCCACAGCTGGGAGCCCACCCCCCGCATCAGCTGATGCGCACTCCCTGCCCTGGGAGTGCATCTGAGCCCTTCAAGGCTCATTGTGCTCTCCAGGGTGAGGGCACTGGTCAGCTGATTGGGGCTGGGAGCACATTCAATTTATAGTGCAAGTGGAAACCAGTCACAAGGTTATTATACATCTTTTCTGTAACAACTTTGTGGCTTATTCCATTTCATTGCAGAATTGGTTAAATTAATGTATGACTGGGTTATATTTAAGACATATTCATGTTTTAAGTGCAACATCTGCCAGGAACCTAGTGGTCAGCATCTGACAGGATCATGAACACTTCTTGCTCTCATCTATGCTGATGATCGGCCAGTCATAGTCAGCTAAATCAGCTCCTCCCAAACCTATCCATCTGAACAGAGACGTGGATTTATATTGAGGAGCAACAATCTGGGAAATAAATTGAGAATATAGAAGAGCTGCCCTGCCACCACAATTTAAGAAAATGCCAAAAATGCATGTAATATATACTCCAATCTCACAACTTAAGTCTGGAGAGAGTGGATTTATTGTTGAAGGAGGCTGTTAGTTTCTTTCAAGAGTAATCTGCAGGTTTTTAAAGTGAGAAATGCTGAAACCAGAAGCCCAAAGTATATTTACATTTTACAGATGTGAGAGAACAAAATCCCTTCGCAGAGGGGAGGGAACTTCTTAAAGAAGAGAAACTTGTGGTTGACAGTAAATCTTTTGCATTTGTATTTATAACTCATTTAGGGGCCAGTCCCAAATTGGGCATTACCGCAAACACTCCAGGGTGGATCTCACGACTCAGAGTCATGCTATTAAAGTTATTGATGACTGTTAACAGGAGGAGTCATGGTAGCAAGAGCTAAGGGCCTAATCCTATTTATACGCAACTCTGTGGCAACTCCTGTTCATTTCAATGACACAGAACTATGCTGGAAGTAAGAGTTTTGCAGGATTCTGCAAATACCATCTAAAAGCTGGGGTTATAGGAGCGTTGACCCCTTCACATAAGACTGGAAACAACACATCACAAAGTTTTTACACAGTGCCCAGCTGCGTCACTTAACATCCATGTTATCAATTTTTATTTCTAAAGATCAGTCATTAGCTATTCTGGAGGAATGAAAAGGGCCAAGCAGCAATTGAAGGCCATCTATTGGGACATCTTCATGACAGAGAACTCAGGTGCCTGGTGTCACTTGGGAAGAGCTAGACTGCAACGCCCTACCCCAGTTACTGTGTCTTCACTGTAGTTCTGTGCGTGTCCCAAAGTTTCCTGGGGCTGCATCCCATGGTTCAGGGTGCTGCACTGAGCTGAACCACTTAGATTCTTGAGCAGAGAATCAGAGCACAACGTGCCCCTACTTCTGCAAGCCTGGTGAGGGTTGGGAGAATGATAAATTAGGAGAGATACTGGAATACCATGTCCTCACTTCAACGTGCATGGACAGTTACTAGCCTGACTGCAAACCTCACTCAGGTGTTAGCCTCTGGCCCCAAATGGGCCAACTATCTTGGGTTGAAGGCACCAAACTTGACCAAGATGTGAACGAGGGAAAGGTTGGGGCAGCACTAGGCAGGAACCAGTTACCTCTGCAGCATGACACACTTTGCAGACCCTTGCTGAAGGTGAGATCAAGAAGCCTTCTCCCGTCTCCGTGCATTTCCTCCTCTTCCTCTTAATTCATTTTCCAAACTTTGCCCTGTTTTTCCATTTGCAAAACGTGGTTAACTTTTTTAAATGGCCACTGATCCTTTAGGCTGTGGAGATCTTCAAGAAAAAAGATCTTCAAGATACAAAGCTGGTGTAGTGTGGCCTGAATCTGGGGACAGTCTGCCTTCCTACATCTGAGAGGTGAACACAGCCTTGCCTTGCTCTCAGTGGAGCATTCACTTGGAGGCCCAGTCATATGGCTCTGAAGGCCCCTGTGAACTATTTCAGTACTTTTAGCAGCTAACATGCTACTCTGTTGTTGGAGAGGGTGGGTGAAATAGCTGCCGTCCAAACTTGTTGGTGTGACAAGCAGATTTCAGAACTCAGAGAATTCAAGACCCCCTTTTCCCTCCACCTAAATATGGAAATGCATCCCCTTTAAGACTCAAAAGCCCAGCTGCCTTGTGACAGAAACCAAGAGAGACTCCCAGCCTTCCCTGGTTAAGTTTTATTTTAAACCTGTTCAGTTTTATTTATTTATTTAAAATAAAATTCCAGACTCGCCCTCAGCAGCTTCAATAGCAGAGCTCTGCATTTCAAGACAAAAATCTGGAGTATGCTGGAAATGTTGAGGACAGTGGGAAAAGCATGCCTAATGAACACAGAAGGCATACTGAAGCGCAAGTGGGTGAAGGGACTTAGAAGAGGGGCTGTCTCAATTCTGGGATTCCTTCCACACAATTCAGTTCTCATATTGCTGCAGAAGCAGCACCATCTAAGGCTGGGGATTCAGACTTGAGGTCTATTCCTCGCTCGGCCACTGACCAGATTGGTGACCTTAGGCATGGTCCATCTCCTTCTGCCACGCGTCAGCTCAGCCTGGAAGCTTCAGAGGAGCTGAAGACACCCAGCGCCCACTGAACTTCTGACTTCAAGTCTCTTTGATCCCAGCCTTTGATTGAAAGCCCCGCCTCACTGTGTTTATGCTGCCTGGCAAAATAAGGCCCTGATTCCAGCTGGGAACTCAGTTGTGGACACATAATGACAGCAGTGGCAGAGGAAAAAATACGGGTGGATAAAGTTCTGCAATGGTCTATGCACGGTGACTTTTATTTCCAATTTTAACTTGTCCTTGGCCTCTCCAAGTCCCTTCCTGATATTTCTGGCTTCATTCGATGTCCTTTGCTGCCTGACAGTGCCTGGTCTCAGACAGATGTTTTTGGTGGTATTAACTTGGCTATAGGGAGGGTGGGGGATAAATGGCATCGCATTCCTTGGCTGTCATGAGAACACATCTGACCTTAAAAATAGCTCAGCAGCGATTTAGCCAGCTCTTAAGTAAACACTTAGACCGAGAGTTTAAAGATAGCTGGGGGAGACAAGGGCCTGATTCCATTAAAGCGAATGGGAATTTGGTGTCCTCAGCCCTTAAGCAGCCTTGAAAAAAAAAAAAAATCTTAGTTTGATATGCGACTGGGAGGGCACAATGTAAACAGGCCCCTCCTTGCTGCCTGGCCCCATGCAGACTTACGACTTAAGCAGATGGAGAAATGCATAAAATAATACAAACAGAACAGAACTGTTGGTGGGAAGCCAGATAAAGCCCCAAGAGGGAATTTTGTACTTGGCACCAGCGTAATGTACTGAATCTGCACCCTCCTGCATGTAAAAGCAGGGGACTGATCATGATCAGCCACCTCAATTCTGCATTCAACATCTCACTTCTGAATGACATGTCAGGCAATGGACGGGTAAGGAGAGTTTGAGCCGAGCATTTGGCTTCACCTTTCTTTGAAAGGTCTGGCATGGGCAGGGCTTGGATTTAGAAAGACCTATAGCCCCAGCTCTGTCACGGCTTCTGCCCAACCCTCTGCCACATTTAATCCCAGAGAGAACAGCTCTCTCAGTCCTGAGCCTGCAACACATCAGGCCTGCTCCACGTTTCCTTCCCAGTTTGCTCAAGAGGACTCTGTAGCAGAGGAGTGATGCAAGTGCTGCCCCTGTGCATGAGAGCTTCAGCACCCAGCAGGACCCCGCAGCTGAACTGTGCTTGCTTGCCCTTTTAAGAAAAAGAGGGCATGTTTTACTAAGCATGATCCTACTAGAAAGATGCCGACCCAGCTTCTCAGGTTAGTGCCCTACCAAATTATAAGCCAGCTGCTTACAGAACCTGCTTAGGCCCCACCTCCTCTGGCCAGCATCTTTCTAACAAAGTGATTTCTCTAGAAAGCCTGTAGCTGGTTTCTATCTCAATGGAAACAGGACTTAAGTGGCTGCAACTAATGAGTGCCATTACCTTTGATTCTGCTGTTCCAAATATGTCATCTCTACCTTGGCAGGATTTCCCACTAAAAACGCAACAGGTCACTTGTCTTGTTCTTTGTTCTGACCTTGCTGGTCTTGGTACTTCCTCTAAACCCAGCTGAAAGGTCTGTAGGGCCAAACTCTTCACTTGATCCCTGGGAATCTTTGATTTACACCTGCTGATGATCTGGTCCTTCTCAAATCTAACCCTCAAACCATTTCAACACCTACAAGGGAAGGATAAAGCAGAGCACTTTGGTGATCACTGCACAGGCAGGACCTATTTAAAAAGACTTGCTGAGATTAGGGCAATTACCTGGGGTACATTAGGAATGAATATGTTTTAGTTGTACGAGGGCTGAGATGGCTAGTTTTTAGAAAAGATTTTCCACAAGCCATCCCTGGCTGCAAGCCTCCATAATGTCTAGCTTCAGTCAGAATTACAAACATGAGCGTCCTGTTATCAGAAACCCCAAGAAATCCCGATCTGGTAAATATGAATCCCATGATTTTTCATGCCACAGGTTTAAGGCTAAATCATGACCTCAAGCATTATATCCGTCTCTCGCTAGCTTTTGATTTTGCTCCCCAAGTAAATAATGCAAAGTGAGAACAGGGGTAGGAAAAATGCAAATTAGAGTGGTCCAGTAAAATTGTTTTTATTTCTGTAATTTCATAAGTATAAAACAAATCAGCTCAATATTGTGCGAACAGAGTGGACCATATGTATGTGACTACAATGAGCCTTCTTAAGTCTTCACAACACACCTGGCTATTTACATCAGGCAAAGTACATAATTTAGGAATCAGTAATTTAGTGGAAAAATATCTCTCGTATAATAAAATAGGAAACCTTGTTTCTTTCGCTTCTATTTCCCCCCTCCCCCAAACAACTTTTATCCAAAGATATAACAATTTACCTGTCGCTGCTAAGCGCAGTCAATGAGATTTCTAGGTTCAGCTGTTCAGGCATCATATCAAAATTTTATGTTCAGAGATTCAAGCCATGGCATTAAGACCACCTGTAAACAAGTCAATGTTTTCTCTCTCCAGTGCCTGAAGTGCACTGACAAAAGCACAGCACAGACTCTGCACAGCATGGGCAAGAATCTGCTATAGATGTCTCCAAAGTAGCACACGTCTGCCTGGGCTCATAGGTATCGAGATCTACATGGGTTTACTGTTCCATTCTTACTTTTCCAAAACCTGAATGACACCAAAAGGAGACAATGCAAGGGGCACTTTTAACCTTCTCCATATGTCATCTTACTAGTTTAGTTCCTGCAAACCCCAAACCAAAGATAATCCCAATCGGTAGCCTAAATAATCCATCATTTCCACTCCCAGGGAGTTTAAGGACCTTTACTTTGGCTTTGTAAACCACCTCCCCAATCCACTAGCAGAACCCGTTCTTCTCTCACTAACCTCAATGGGATTCCAGGTCGCACTGGAGGGGTGGTGGGATGAAGAAAAGCTGGGAGAAAGTGGAAGATCTGGGAATTGCTATATAGGGAATCAGGGGCAGGGGACTGGTGAGACAGGCAGACTGATATTGCTTGTCTATTTGGGAAGCAAGTGGAGTAAGTGAAGCTAAAGTATTTGAAAATCCCTATATCAGGCACAGAAGAATATCATGGCATTTTTGCATCTTGGTCTATTGCAGGGGTCAGCAACATTTTTGGGTGGTGCTAAAACACCCTGCAACCTCGACTTGTAAGATGTTGTTGTGCCAGGGATGGATGGGGGGGTAGTGGGGAGAAACGGAGGGGTCTCGATCCTTGTTGTGGCAGCGCAGCCCTGGTCCCTTCCCTGCCGTCTGCCCCAAGGTCTGCATGTACCCGCTGCCAGCAACAAGCCAGGCCGGGGCTCCACAGATCCTGGTGCAGCTGCTTGCAGCCTCTCTGCTGCGAGCCCAGGCTCCGTGGCCAGCGGGAGCCCAGGCCAGCTGTGGCACGCCAAGCAAAATGGCTTCACATGCCAGGGGGTTGCTGACCCCGGGTTTATCAAGAAACATCAACTCTGTAGGTGGTGGGGGCTTTTCATAACAGCCAGGATCATGCCTCACTTGGGGCATGCTGCCTTGGGGGTGGGAGACAAAAGGGCTGCCAAAGTAAAGCAGGAAAGCATATTTGCATACATCTGCTGGACAGTCCACAGGGATAATATACCCCCACATTGGTCCTTGTTGTGCACACTGGAGCTCTTCACTCAAGCACTATGTGCAGGGCTTTGCTTTTTACATCAGGACCACGGACAGCACTCAAGACAATCCAGTCTGAACATGTCTTCCCATTTACAGCCAGGGTGTCTCTTACCTGCTGTGTGCTTGCAGAGATTGGGAATGCAAAGTATTGAGAGAGCAGGTGGGCTGGCCCTGAGCTTCCCAGCAAGCAGGAAGCAGATAAGTTTTCTACCCATTTCATTCTCTATCAGGAACATTGCACATTTATTCTTGCATTAAAGGCGACAGCTGTTCCTGGATGTGAAAAAGAGAATTTTTAGGCCTTGATCTTGCAAACGCTCATGCTTTAAAGGTTCTTGTGATGCACATCATTCTGATTCAAAGCCCAGTGCAGCCAATGGAAAGATTCCCAGTGATACAGTGTCCAATCCCTTGTGCACAAAGTGAGTGATACAGGTGGGAACAGGAATTTGCTATGCAAGTGCTCTTGTGCCAATCTGCCTTGTATGAAAGCCTGTGCCTCACCCTGTACTGTGCATCTTGCCAGGATTCAGGTCTCCAAAAGTTCCATTTTAAATCCCTTTTCTTCACCACCACCTCCAGCCTGGGCAAACTCATCCCAGCCCCACTTTTGTTGCAGGAGTTTCTCAATCCCTCCCACATCTCCAATTTCTTGTTATTTGCAGACACCTTCTGGTACTACCCAGGTCTTGAAACAACTCTTAGAAGCATACATAAAGCAGCATTATCATAACAGTGCCAGAATCTCGTTGAATACCCAAAGCAAATCCAATGTTCAACCCATGGGTAAGCATCAAGACTCTTGGCCACATTAGTTCAACAAAGGAATTGAAAGAAAACAACATTTCAGAGGTGGCACCAATTATTCTCTCCACTGCCGTTTCAAATAAGAGCTGTCTTTTCTTCGAAGAATGAACCCTTCCTGATACGATCAAGTTCTTGGTGAGAGCTCATCCAGTCATAAGCCACAATGACACTCAGGTCCTGAAACAGCACAAAACTGACTCTACAGCCATTACACAAAGCTCAACCCCTAGCACTTCTTCAAGAGGTAGGAGCACCTTGGCTCCCAGGATTATTGTATTACTGTCATCCAACATGTTAAATGGCCCCTGAGAAATTAATTTAAAGTGCTTGTGGAAAGCCACATGGGCTACTATTCTGGTGCTCACTCATGAGGAGTTATGAATAGTTTGTTCCTTTTATTTAGGAGGGTGTGTTGCTGGAAGAATTGCTGGAAAGAGGTGGGATTTAATAAAGAAGTTTGAATATCCTAGAAGGCAAAAGGGTGCAATTCCCAGATTCTTTTTTTCAGAAAGGGACAGGTACTACTAGACTCTTCCCCCCTTCCCTCTGCCCAAGGCTGCTCTCTGCAACATGCAGTACGAAGAAACTGCTACGCCAGTGTACGTCTCCATTCTATTGCACACCATCCAATGCTTCAGTAAGATACAACCGAGACCCAGTTCCACAACTGGGTCAGGAACTTCCAAGTCTACACAAAATAATAAACTTACTATGGTATGTTAGAGCATCCAGCATGCTGCTGGTGATGTACAAACAATAAATAACTACTCTGACTTATCCAGACCCGCCACCAAACCATAAAAAGGAAAAAAAAAATAAAAAATTCAATCTAAGGATATTTTTCTACTTCATTAAAATATTTGATCTCTAATCTCTCTAACTGCAAAAAGCCAAGAACAAAACTTATCTTTAACAACCATTCAAGGCACAGGCAACAAAAGAAAATCAAAGAAAGATGTGATTCCTTAGTTTAAGATCATACAGAAAAATCATGGACACTTTGAAATGGGGCACCCTTAAGAGAGTACCTCTTGAAGGTGTCTTCAGGGCAGATTTCATCAACTTGATATGAAATATTTTTAGAATATATCAGATGAGTATAATGAAAAAGGGCAAATGGAAATTGCTGCTGTTGAGAAGAGTGAGCCTTTTGGCTGGATTAAGGCCATGGTTTGTTGCTTTCTTTTCCCTTATTTCGTACCCTGTAATGCACCCATACAATCACAGAGCAGCAGGGATGCATTTTAGTAACAGGGACGCTAAATTAGTAACATCTGAACAGAAACTAGCATTGCCCTACTCCAGCCTGCACCGTGCCCTTCTTTTATAAGTAATCACAATGAATTTGCGGGGATCCACAGGACCCATGTTTCCCAGTATCAGATGAGGCAATGCAAAATGACCAGTAGGAATTTAAGAGAGATTTAAGAAGTCCATGATTTTACCTCTGCTTCTTACATACCCAATGAGACAGCCTTTCTTTCGTTTTTTTAAAGACACTTTACATTACAGAGCTCAGAATAAGGCCATTGAATGTTTTAGGAAAAGAAAAGCACACATTTAGGCTAAAAAAAAATACCACCACCCAGGCCAGATCCTCAGCTGCTGCAAATCAGGGTCATTCCAGTGGGGCAACTGTTTCATACCAGCTGAGGATCTGGTTCAGAGGTCCAACCCAGCACTGATCTCTGCTGGATGCAAATGAGTACCAGCAGTGGGGCTTTACAGATGAAGCAGCTTGCAAACCTGGCTGGACAACACTTTCTGGACACCCTCTCCCCTCATTCCCTCCTCCCCTGCAAAAGAAAGGACGACCAGGATGTTATACACCAATTTCAACCATGGGATAGCAGAAACATCTCCCCTGAAGGCAATCCATTTACTCACATGAAGGCAGAATTTAGCCTGTTAATCGTGGATTAAATTTCTACTGGTTATTATTTACCAGCCTGTTCTGAAAACCCCCCCAAAAACACAGGGAGCTAGGGGAGAAGGGGTGCAGTGAAAGGTGGACTTCACCCTTGTGCACCAGTTCCTTGAAGGCTTAGTCAGTGTCTGGGCCATGCTGGGTGAGTTAGTGGAACTGGCCTCTGAGAAGGAATCAGTCAGCCTGTGAAATCACCAATTAAATCAACTTGGATGTGACACATTAGGAGAAAAAATTCTCCAGGATGGTGAATAGAAATTTTTCCGGTGAATGACTTTCCTGTAACCGCACAGTATCTATAAAGATATATTTGTAAAGAGCTCCATATTAAAATTCCTTGAATACATTATATATTAAATACAGTAACAACATTTTCATGCAATGTTTTCTGTACAATTGAATCAGCTCAGTAGTATAACAAGTCTGTACATTCCCACTGGTCTGGGGCACTACCCATCTTTTTCAATGCTGGTGATGGAGAAAGAAAAAGGAAGGGATGGTGTTTGGCACATACTGTACATCACGTGGCCAGCTGGTCGAAGCACAGCCAGCTTGTCTGCACACATGTGAAAGAGAACCAAAAAAAAGCAATGGAGGTTTTTAAAAAGAAAAAAACAAAACCTGATCAGGATAGTAACCGAGAAAAATGATATCAAATGATATCAAAAGCATTGCTTGGCCCTAGTGCCATTGTGTACACAAGGTTGTAGTTTAGAAAGAAGGAAAAGCCGCCGACTCCTGCTAACTGAGTATCATCGGGACAGGGCTCTGAGGAAAGGGAGGAATGAGGAAGTGGGAGTATTTAGAGAGCTGGAAAAGCAGCTGGCTGTATTTACAGCCAAGCCCTCAGCTGGTGCAACATGGATTTTGACAGAGCCAGGCCAATCTACTGGTACATACAACCTAATGCTACTATGCAAAATATCATCTGCACAACTCTTCTACTGGAAAACAATCTCAAAGGACTGGAATAAAGGAAGTGCCTTTAAAGGGGAGTCCACAAGTGACAGTGCTCAGGAAATGGGGCTTTATTTTGTGGACATTTGTTTCCCCTGTTGGAGGCGTAGCACTGATTTTAAGAATGGTAAAGAAGATCATAAGGGAACAAGAGGTGTCCCCCAAAGCTAATATTATTATCTAACGCTCAACTGCCATCTGAGAATTAGTCTCATGTTCTACTTTCTGTACAATTATTAAAAAAAAAAAAAAGTGCTTGGTCAGAAAGCTTGATCAAGAATGGGCAGTAGATGTGGTTGATTCTAAGATCCATCATTCCCATGTTTTGTTGTAAAAGTTTACTCTACATGGAAATGTTTCAGACTGAAAGCATAGGAAGAGATTTAATGAGGTCATACAGAAGAGGAAGGACAAGAGAACTAAGCCACATTTGGTGTCTGATGAGCCTGAGAAGATTCAAGATTTTCAACATGGAGAGAAGATAATAACAACACAGTAAAACAAAGGGGGAGGGAGGGGAAATCTACAGTTGCAGCCACAAAAATCTCTGTAAGTGCACATCTGCAACATGCACACCACTAGTAATTCTATCAGGACACAGGATATCTATGTCCATACACTGAAACGATCTTGATGTATGCTACTAAAGTCGGGCAGCTAGGTAGCATGGCTGTCAAAGCACCAGCACTGCCATCTAGTTCCTATGGCTTTGGTGGACATGAGTCTGCTCAACCGGAGGCCAACCAGCCTGAACTGTTGCATCTTATGTGCCTCTTTCACTTATCCTTCCTGTCCTCCCATGCAGCTCAGTGTTTTCTTGGCGCCCATTTTTGCCATGCCGCACCATCTTTTTCAGCTCTGGAATGCACCCCTGGCATTTCTCACGCACAGGTTCCACAAACCACTTTGATATCATGACTTCTCCTCTTACTGTGCTGTCACCAAGTGAAGGATGCTTGCTGACCTCGCTCTCGAGGGCTATTTTTAAGAAGTGTCACTAATTTTTCATGAATAGATCCCCAAAGAGCTGTGTTACAATGACTCAGTTACATATAGTTCCATCCCCAAACCATAATTTAGCTGTCCAGTAATTGCACCATTATATACAGGAAAGAAAAAAAAAAAAAAGCTACGAAACGAAACAAATCAGTATTTTTCTTTTCGACAATTCACCCGCATTAGTCTGATAGTTGGACACATGCATGTCCTGCTGGCTTCTAGTCATGGTCACACATGCAAGACTTCAGTCCGAGTTGCAGCTTAGGGTTCCTTTATTTAGATAGTGAGCTTCCTTTGTGTCATTCATTTCTTGTCTTCTTCTGAAAAAGAAAGGAAATTGGCTTATGGTTAACAAGCAGGGCTGATCACCTGTCTTTTGCTATCAGCATAAACACTTCACTGGTTCACAGAGCTAGGAAAGACCTCACAGTCATGAAAAGGCTGGTGTCAGGAGTCTGGGCTTACAAGGTATTAACATCCAATCACCGTGAGCATGGACCACCAAGCAGCAGGATCTGTTGCCCAGCTCCCAGATGTGACGCCTTTACACGCCTTTATCTGCATCTTTCACATGCAGATGCCCAAGCCCCATTCAGCCGCCATGGAACAAAACCACTTGGTAGTTCTAAGATGCTCTCTTTCCCAGGATACCCAAGCACTCTGTAAACATTTCCTGAGCCACTGGAAGGTCAATAGTTATCCTCAGTCCACTGATAGGGAAACTGAGGCACACAGAGTAATTTAGACAAGATCGCTCTAAGCAATCACAACTAGGTTGGGAAAGGATGCTAGATGTCTCCAACTCCTAAGCCTGTGCTGCAGCCACAAGGCCATTCTTCTCCAGATGCTGGCAGCAAGAGATGCTTGCTATGAAACATTTCATCATTTAAGCGTTCAAGGAAACTATGGTGTTCATAGATTTCACAGACATTAGGGCTGGAAGGGACCTTGGAAGATCATCAAGTCCAGCCATCATGTGTTGACACGATGCTTTACAGAGCTAAAGCCCTCTGTAATGGGGATTGAGAGCATAAGTTCTCCTGCCAGCTTTGAAAATCTCATGTTAAAAACATGGGGCCAATGCCCAACAGTACTGGTTGGTATCTTTGAGCAGCTGCAGTGACTTCATTTGGGCTCCCCAGGAAGGAGCTATTAATACGCAGCACAGAAAAGGCTACACATACCTACCCCCTTTGTCAATAAGAGCACACATTCAGAAAAGAACCGGAAAGGTAGGTCTCAGAAACATTTAACTGTGCTTCAGCATCTCTACTCGTGGAACTGGCAAAGGGACTGTCATTTTAACAATCCTGGCTAGTAAAGTCCCTCTTTGAGGATGCAATGTAGGGCTGAACAATAAATCCAGTTTTATCACTGCAGATCAAAGTTCCTTCGGTCTGATCCATTTTAAAAAGAAAAAGAATTTTTCAAAAAATGTTGCCAAAGTTCATTTTCCCCTTACACTAATGATTCCTATTGTATCTGATAAGTTTTTAATGCACTTACTCTCCTGTGTACTACTTGCAGTCGGATTTTTGAAAACCTGTGGGATTGCATTTAACTCCTCCGTGCTCTTTAACATTGCCAGCCACAGAGACTGGAATAAATAAATTAAGTTCCATTTTAACTTTGTTTCCAGTTTCAGTTTTTAAACAGCAAGTGTTACCTACTTTTCTATAACATGCACTTTCCATAGCGCACGCTGGAAGTTCCTCTCCCGTACAATTACCACAGTACATATCTAAACCTTCTAAATAACACTTGATCCCCAGATCAACTTAAAGTGCACGGCAAGTGATCTGTTTACGTTGCACTTATAACTGCTACCTGAGCTAGTAAATGGTGCTTAGGAACAGAAACAATTTAGCTTTAATGATCTTTGTAAAGTACAGAATTAACAAATTCTGATACACCGGAAGAAGTCAAGAAATACACAGCAGTTAAAAACCAGTGTAATGCCTCATAATGCCTCCAACACACCAGTGGAGTGCCTCAATGACTCGGGTGTTTAAACTCCCACCGGAAGTGAACAAGACTTTAGATCTTATGGCCTCATCCCCACAAACCAGGGTGTGTGGTTGCTGCAGGAAAAGAAGCAGAAGCACAAATTTGCACCACTGCTTTCTGCCCTGGTGCACGCCCCTGTATGTGGGGTTAGTACAGGAAAAAATGCTCTGGGTAGGATAGGGGAGGCTGGGACCAGCACCTAGGCTGGCCCCCCCACCCCCCAGCCTTACCCTATGAGCCTCCCAGGGCAGCAGCAGAGGCAATTCAGGTGTGCGGAGCCTGGCCAGCAGCCAGAGCATGGCTCTAGGCAGCCAAGCTGTGGTTTTGGGAGGTGCACACTGCTGCCACATAGGTTGCTCAGCTTTTTCTTGACATTTTTTTTTTTTTTTTTTTTTTTTTTTGACACTGGGAGATCCTGGTGTAAAAAAAAAAAAGGAACAACAAGGGCCCCCCACCCCAAACCCCTGCTGCACTGCAAACTAGCAGCATGGTGAATGTGTGCAGGTGCAGTGCGTGCTGTTTGCAGTGCCACAAACCAAGTGTGTGCTCATCTGGATGTGCCTAAGTGTCTTTAAGATGCTTGTGAAAATGTCACCCAGTAGATTTTAATAAAACCTGAAATGCAGAGGACTGTGATACCCTGCATTAAACCTGGCATTTTTAAAGAAGAACATACATTCTTTAAAACTTGGGGAGTTAGGTGCCCAAACCCTACTGTATTTTAATGATCACTGGACTCCTCAACGTGTCACACCCTGAAAATCCTGAACAGAACTATCTGCTCGTCAGGGAAGGATTTTTTTGCTAAATGCAGAAACAGCCCATTTTTATTTATGACCATTATTTACCTGCTACCATTTTATTCCTGCCTCACAAAGCTAAATCCTTTGTCCTCATGGGCTTTCAACTCTTCTAAACTTTTGTCTGACCTACATGTTCACATGAACTTGCATGCTTGCCTTTTCTTTTCCTTTTTTATGTCTTTCTTAAGACATGTCTTTTATGTCATCACCCAAGACCATGCTTTTCTTTCTACAACAGAGAATGCTGGAGAAATCTGGCTGTTTGGATACAACACAGGTTGTTCCCTACCCCCCCAGAGCTATACAGCTGCTAACAAACAGCCGCATTACATGTGATGCAGGAAATAAGTGTCATTGCTGCTGGAACCCTTCATTGCAGCTTTAGCTCAGAGCAAGGGCCCCTCAAAAGGGTGCAAAATATAAAACTTTTCACTCCTCAAGCAGTTCCCTTTAGGACAGCTGAAACACATTGCTGGGATGTTTCTGTGCCTAAATACAGGCTTTCAGTTTACAGAGTACTCAGTGTACCGTGGCCACCTTTCCGAGCGCTGCCATGCTGAAGTGAACTTCTAGTATTTACTCTACAAAGAGTTTTTCCCCCACATACTCCCTCTTCTGGTTTGCAAACCAGGTAAAAAAAAATCAGTGAGACATGAGGGTCCCATGTGGGGAAGTTCACACTTCCCAAAGGTAAGAGCAATATTCTTTCTGATACCATCCCTTAACTCAATCAAATAACTTAGTATACACAAAAACATTCTTTTCCCTGCCACGTAAGAGTTTGGCTAAGGTAGCTACAGAGAGAAATTACCCTACAAGGACACATTATGAACTTGGGAATACAGCACCATCTCATCCAGTATCTGACTCCAGTAGGGCCCAAATACTATTTAGTCCACATTGCTAGTGCATTACTACAGAGACCTTTGTATACTCCTGGAAGCTTTTTATGGATTCTTGTTATTTCTAGGGGGAAGTATCTTTTTGGCAGATAACAGAGCAGGTATCTTTGCTACACGGCGCACCTGATTTACGATCAGAAGCAAAGCCAAGGTTTCCACAGCTCAGAAAAATATATCCATTATTTTGGCATTTAATAGTATGGAGTCCTGCTTTACAACTCACTTCTCTTGAAGTCACTCTGTCAGTGGAATTATGCCCAATTTACACAAAATCTAAAGTCAGGCCCTATCTGTCCATTGCTTCCACTTTTTGCCATGCCACTCAAATGCTTACGAACAGTTATTCAGGCAAGAGAGTCTACAGCTCAGAGATGCAAGTAGTAAAATGCGTCTCGTGTGCACTTAATTGGACAAGTTATCCTCGGTGGCCGAACTGCTAATACAACTACACAGCCCCTCGTTAAAAAGAAACTACTGCAGCAGACAAAAGAAGATGGTGATAGAGCAGTTCAGGTATCTCATTATGGTTTCAGAAGCATGAGTTCAACCCCTGCTTTGGGCTCATGCCAAAGGTTGCCCACAGACAAGCCAGCTACAAATGGGTACTGAGACCATCAGACTGGGAAGTCAAAGGAGGAAAGAGGCGATTCTTTAGCCACATCATTATCTTTTGTGACCTTGCTAGAGAGACCAGCATATTGTAGTCATTCTAACCATCAAGCTTTGGGACTGAACTTTGCTCTTTAACTTGACTGTAGAGGCCTGAGTGACAGCAAGAGTAGCAGGGGGCAGGCTTTGGGAGCCTGAGACCAATTAAAGCTGTCACCTAACAACTAAGCAAGTAGGCTGAAACAAATGACTAAAGACAATTATGAAAAACAACGAGATAAACTAGCTTGAAACTACATATGAAAAAGATGCATCAACACAGGTCCTGCAAAGAGAAACTGCACTCTTCAATCTACTAGAGTGACCTGCAGCCAAAATAATGGCTGATAATTTATTTGGTCTTTCAAGAAGTCTTTCAGGAAGCGTCCCTTAAGTGGCTACCACAGAAGCTATAGATGGAGTAAACTTTATCTACAGATTATAAATTGAGCCAGAGGCAGAAAAAAAAGGAGAACAACCCACTAATCTTCCTCAAGAAAAAAAATACAGTAATGGAATGAAGTGATGCAGATGAATACACTGGATATCACTGCTCAACATGCAGGGTTGATCAAAAAGAACAAACCAAATAGTTATTTGGCTGCATGTATCCTGAAAATGTTATACTGCCATGTTCTTCATTCACACTTGCCATCTTGTGCTCAGCACTTCTCAAAGTGACACATGAGAAATACGGGGTCCAGAGATGGGTGATGTAGCTGCCTGTGTGCGTGGAATGACTACCAGCTGAAGGGGTGTTGAAAAGATCAGAATCCTTTAGTTTAGAGATGAACAGAAAAGGACGCTGCAGAACTAGACAGTTGGTGCACAGACAAACAACAATTGTATCCGTGGCAAACGCTAGGGCTATAACCCATGATGATGCAGCTGTTTCCTAGGAGTCGTTCCATCATAATACAAGTGTAACAAAACCACTCTGACTTTAAAGTTGTTCAAGATTAGGAAGAGATTTACCAACTTTTCACGCTACAAGAGCACACGGATGTAGCAGCTGCCTCCTAACAGCTAATACTCACTCTAGAACAGCAGCTCCCTCACCCCGTTTAAAGTGCCCAAAATGTTCCTTTGTCCAAGCCCTCGGGAAGGCAAGAGTAAAAAAAAAAAATGGATGGGCCAAGTAGTTTTACATAATCCCAGAATCTCCCCTTCCAGCATGCTAAGTAGGGCTGTGCAAAATGGCACCGGTCCTCTCCGACTTGAGTTTTGAGGTTTTGACGGCACAGCGTTTTGTTTTGAATTTCATTTCAATTTGAAAAAGCTGTTCTGCTTTGCTTCGTCGAAACAGTGAGGCTGTTCCGACGTTTCGCCCATTAGCTATAATGGGGAAGTTCGAAACAGCCTCTCTCATCTGGCAGGCAGATCGGGGCTGCGGGGCCCCGATCTGCCTGCCCGATGAGGGGGGGAAGTGCGTCCAAGTGGGGGGAGGGAAGCCGGTGTTGCCGTCTGGGGAAGGGAACTGAGCCGGATTGCTCAGTTCCCCTCCCCAGCCCGATCGTAGCTGGACCGACTTCCCATCCCCAGCCCGATGTACGTGGAATTAAAAAAAAAAGCAAAACAAGAAAACCCAAGGGCTGGAACGTCAGCTGCTCAACACACGCAGCTGAGAGACCTGGCAGAGAACTCTCCTCCCAATGAATAATGGATGTCTTGACTTCTTCTGCAATGTGGCCCCATTTGAAGCTGCTGAGCCTTCCTAAAAATTCTGACCTTGCTTGGATATAAAATGGCTCTAATGGAACTAAGACGATTTCCACTGTCTGATCCGTAGGCTTGCTCTACATTTTAATGTTGTGAGAGTACAACTGATAGCACGCTCCTTACATAGATGTACCCTTTTTTCACTGATGACACAATGTAGTTCTACGCTTCACACCAAAACCAGCAATGCCACTGGACTGTGTTGTCCTGCAGCTGCAAGTCACGACCACAGATGCTGGACATCTGCCAGAACGTATGCCCAAGAGCTATTCAGACAATCCACCCAGAGGCTGGACAGCCAGGTTACCACAGGACGCAATGAGTTTGGCAATGGAACAGGAACGTGATTGACAGGGACAATACACACAAGAGAGAGAGCCAACCCTGTGTGATCTGGAGTCCTGCAGGCTTTCAGCTGGTGCTCCCCATTCCACATGTTTCTGACTGTCTTGAGAATTCCTGGTGAAAAACGACAATGCCAGATTTAAGGGATATTTTTCAATAATATTCAGAGGAATTTGATTGAACAAACAAAGGATTTTTTTCTTTAAAAAGTGACAATTCAAGCACAGCCTGGAATGATTGTGTTCTCTTGCTGTGATTAAATAGCGGTGTCAGAATCCTTTGCTGTCATGAGACACGAGGCAAATCATACAAATCAGCATTAGCGTGATGCAGCACTGTAACAGTGTGGGTGAAAGGTATGAAATGGAACAGGTGGGTTGGCAGCAAGGCAGATGGGACCCAGCAGCAACAAATATCCAGGGAAGTGATTGCACTAGTTCAGAATTGTGGTTTCTATTGCAGTAGCAGCAAGAGCACCGTAACACTCAGGACCCTACATGCACAGAATAAAAGAAAGGTCTTGCCCCAATGAGCTTTCAATCTGAATAGAGAAAAACAAGAAATAGAAGAGAAAGAATTACCCCCATTTTACCGATGGTCAAGTGATGTCTATAAATATTAAAGTGACTTGGTCAAGGATTACACAACAAGCCATGGCAGAATTGAGCGTTAAACTTGATCTCTTAAATCCTAGTTCTGGACCTGGACCATAAGGCTATTGTTCCATTATGGTTTTGGGAATTGAGAGTAAAACAAGGAGAAAAAAAAAATATCAAGAATCTGACTGACTTTCAGAAAAATGTCATGGTCAACCAAGAAAAAGGCATTTTCCTCTTGCTTATTAAAAAGGGCCCCATCTATCTGTATTTCCTAATAGTGGGTAACTTGAATAATTTACTAATTATGAATCACTAGCCCATAAGCAGAAGCCAACCAATCTGATATTCACAAAATAATCCACAACAAAAGGGGAATGCATCTCTACTTAATACCATAAATATGTACTGAGATTTCTTGCTCAGGGGAGTAATACTCTTTGCACTTTTGGAGTGTATTTCTGTCCTAAAAAGCAACTCCAAAAATAGTATTATGGACTCCCTTTTCAACATTTCCATATAAAAACATGATTAGCTTGTATGCAAACACAAAAAGACCAGCCTGCAAACTCAGCCTGTACTCTGGAGCAAAGGTGAGCTGTTTCCATCATCCCTCATAATTAAGAGTTCTGTAGGCTACAGTGACACCTGTATAACTGGCAACACTGAAGATCCAACGCACCACTAACAAAAATAAAGTATGCTGCACATCAGCCAAGAGTACGCAAAAAAGTTCTCTCCACAATTTTATTCTTGTCCAGACCCATGGCCAAAGTACCCCCTGTTTCTCTCCCAAAGAATCTCTTCTCAGCAGGGCAAATGAGAACAGTCCTCAACTATGAAATAGGAGAACTACTAAAAAATACGCGCTGGATACACATGCATGCAGTGGAATCCTTACTCATGTGATCAAACTATCTACTGGGGGTGAAGTAAGAACAGAGTTAAACTGCTGTGCCAGGTCATCCATGATCAGAAAAAAGCAAGGTCCAGGCCTCTTGGGCTCATTATCCAAACTCTTTTCTCTTCTGAAAAGAATAAAGTTGAACCTCCTCCCATCACAGGAACTGACAGGGAGCCTGAATGGGTCTGGAGTCTTCCTGGATCTCTCCTTTTTGCCAGTACTGATGGGGGTGGGTAAGCACTCAAAAAGGCAATATCCAGTCTTCTGCTGAACTCTAATCACCTGAATATCAGAGCCCAGATCTTGCTTTCGAACAGTCTTGGACAATGAGTGAGCTAATTAAGGAACATGCACCACAGGTGCACTCAGGATGATATCAGGAAAGCACAACATTTGATAGGGGAAAAAAAAGCGAAAGCAAAAAAGGTTTAACTTAGCATGTTCAGGTCACTCACTGAAATGCTTCACTACAAGAAATAGGCAATAGTAGATTATTCATCATCACTCCTAGAGGTCTCTAAATGTCTGCAGTGCTGTACAGGACAGGGACCAAACCTGCTGGCACTGACACCAGCGGGAAACCTTCTACTGATGCCTGTAGCACAGAACTGGACACCTCTGATAACACATTTCTTGTTTCCAACATGAGAGAACGTCTGAAAATGGTTAAGCACTTGCAACAGTCACTGAAGTTAAGCAACGTTTCATATACTCAGCACCTCTTGGGGGTTTTGATCCTAAAACAGAAGTGGCAAACATAAGAGAAGACATCCTTCTGGGGACAAAGGCACAGGAGAAGAACATGGGAAGGATGCTTGGAAGAAACAGTTTTGAAGAGGGTTAATCCACTTTCCAGTAATGTTACCAAGAAGGTTTATTACAGAGTTGGTGCAGGTCCTTAAGGAAGGCAGTGGGCAGTTGGAAAACAACATGGGTAGGCTGTTCCAATGGACTGTAAGTCAGTAATGGACAACAACATTTTTGCATCAACCCTTGTGTCTGGTTTTAAGAGATTAGGTAAAAAGATAAGGAAAGAGTCCCTTGTAACAGGCCACCCTGGGGAAAAGCAAGCATGAGTAGTATCAGCAGACGTGATCAATGAGATGGCCCTGAAAGCACAAAGCAAGCACCATGTAGCAGATGAGGAATGGGAGCATCCATTATTTGGACAGCACTCACCTTCTAGATGGTTGCGGGAAAGATATTTGAGTCCTTCATCAAGCAGGATAACAGGCAAGGAAATTTTCAGTACAACCACCCACTGTGGCCAGCTCAGGGGGGTTACCTGGAAGATCAGCTGCAAGGTAAGAGAAGTTCATAAATTAAAAACACAAAGGAGACAGAGCTCAGAACCTAAGATTCATTTTCTGGTTATATAGCCAATCACTGGGGCAAGGAATATCTTGAGTACATAGCCAAGAAAATTCTGGATTGTGCAGAAGATGAGGCCTCCGTCCTGGTCACAATGAGAACACTATGGGACTTTGCAAAGGACAGGTGATATAATTATGCCCACTTTACATATGGGGAAAATGAGGCAAAACACAGGGGTGGTGACCTGCCCATAGCAATTCCATGACAAAAATGCCAGGGAGAGAACCCCATTCTCCTGATCACCTCACTTTCAGTCCCATATTCTAGTGAAACAACCCCGAAAAGTTCTGCTTTTGGGGAAGTCTCACTGAAACGCACAAAACCAAAAGACGGCCCCTGGAATGGTGTTATCAAAAGCACAACCCCATGACCCCACGCACTGGGCCAGTGGTATCACTTACAGGCATAGGCTTCACATAAAGAATCAAGAAGTGCAGTGCCATGGACATGATTATAGCCCCGAGAAGCCAGAGGTTCAGCCATGGTGGCATCCTCAGCAACGACTGGTTTTCAGACACACTATGAAAGCAAAGAGGAAGGTGTTGGCTCAGATAAACTGTGAAATATCCCTAATCCTTACAAGGGTAACTTGGTTCAATCAATATACCCTTTAGCTCTTCGAGTCAGTAGAAATAAAGACTTTCAAGTGAAATATATAAATACTTCAGTGGATTCACTGTGGCATGGCTGATATCACACTTTTTTCAGTGAATTCCCAATTTTATTGAACAGGTGTAAGTACAAAATCAAAATATGGTTTATCCCTGTAAGGCAAGGACCTCCAATACAAAGCTCTGATCCCATCTTGTTTAGCCCCTAAGCTACCAGGGGACCTATACGCTGGTAGAAATTTCAGTATCCTCTGATCTAAGCCAGGACCTTAGGCCTGAATTAATTTTGAACTTGAACTTGAACACCCAGCTCAGATGGGCCCAGATATTGCCAAATTGCTAAACTGGATCTTAGAGAACTACATGCATTCACACTGGTATCCCTGCAGAGAATAACACAGTCGGCGTGGATGGCTTTGCATCAAGATCTGACATTCCTGAACATACCACACCTGTTCAGAGCATTGCACATCTCAATTGTCACTAGCACAGACAGTGCCATAGTGGTTGGGTAACGAGACTCAAAGATTTCACAGTCGAATCCTTCAAAGATGGGGTTGTCTTCTGTGCATCTCATGAAGTTTCTCTGTTGGCACAAGAAACACCAAGTAAATGGTTACCTTGCAGAGCAAACTCACTTTCCTGGTGGCTGCAGGAAAGCCATGAAATGGGCAAAAATATCAGGTCCCCACGGGAATGACTCTCAACTATCAGGGGATCCATTAACCATTCCTTGGATCAGGGGGACCAATTAGCATCTGAAGCAAATCATCTTCTGGTTTGACTCCAGCCTATGACAGTACAGATCATGTAATAGCAGCTAGGTTGCCTATGGGAAATTAATGAGTGGTTTCAGTTTAGTTCCAAGTGGACATGTGCCTGTTAAAAAAAAATATCTACCATAGCAAATAGTATTAACCACAGACTTGTTGAAAGCCACAGCATGGGCAGCAAGGGCAAGATAAATGCAAACTCAGCTTACAGAAGAGAATTAATGAAGTCTGCAGAAAACTAAATTCCAACTCATCTACAGGAATCCTTGCTAGTCTTATGGATCCAAAGCCAAGAGATGAGGGCTCTATTTCTGACCCGCTGAGCAAGCTAATCTCCTCTCTGTGCTGCTCCTTCCCTTCCTGCCTTGGGTAGGTCTTGCTTGTTTTGACAGTACATGCTTTGAGGCCAGGATTGTCTCCTCCCATGATTTAGTACAGCACCTGGCACAGCAGGGCCTTGGGCTAGGTTAGAATTTTAAATGCTGATGCAACAAATATAATAGTAACCAGTCTCCACAGTAGTTACTCTGGCACTAGATGCACTAAATACATAAGAATGGCCATTTACTGGGTCAGACCATAGGTCCACCTTACCTATGTAAGATGGGTGTCACAGTGGCAGAAAGAAGAAGCTGAAAGGGACAGTGAACTGGGCATGGACAGGGGGTTTTTTTCCCCAGTGATCCTCTCTTACTTGCAGCATCTAACATTTAAGGTCTAGGAAGTTTTAATTCAGAGGCTGTATCCCTAACTCTCAAGCTCAATAGCTACAGACACCTCTTTCCTCCAAGAATCGTTGAATCTGGCTAAACTGTCAGGTTCCACATCTGGTGGCAATGAGGTCCACACTTTAAATACATGCTGTGTAAACAGGAACTTCCTTTTGTCAGTTTTAAACTTACTAATGTCATTGTGTGACCCCTAGTTTTTGCATTGTAAGAGAGAGGGAATCGTAAATCCCTATTTACTTCCTCTGCACCATTTAGTATCTTGTAAACCTTTATCATGTTCACCCCACCCCTAAAGTGTCTCTTTTCTAACCTGAATAGGCCTAGCCTCTTTAGTCTCTCCTCATATGGAAGCCCCTCCATACCACTAATCGTCCTTTGCCCTTCTCTGTGCCTTCTGTAATTATTATACAGACAACTCTCAAATCTCTTTCTTCTGTGATAACAGCTAATGTAGAGCCCATCATAGTACAGGAATAGTTCGGGTTATGTTTGCCCAGGTGCATCACTTTACACTTATCTACATTCAAGTTCATCTGTTGTTTAGTTGCCCATTTGCTCACTTGTGCCAGATCCTTCTTCAGTTCCTCAGTTTGCCTTGGTCTTTACCACTTTGAAAAATTTTGTCATCCACTCACCCCCTTTTCCACATCATTTATGAACATGTTAAACAGCACTAGCCCCAAAACAGATCCCTAGAGGACCCTACTGTTTACTTCTTTCCATCCTAAAAACTGACCATTTATACTCTGTTTTCCATTTTAAGCCAATTTCTAATCCATAAGTGTACACTCCTTGTAATCCTGTGACTACCCAACTTAGTTAAGAGCCTCTGATGGGGGACTGTATCAAAGATTTTTTGGAAGTCTGAATATACCTTGTCAATTGGATCACTCGGATCCACCTGCTTTTCGACACCCTCAGACAACTCTAGTAGGCATGATTTCCCTTGGACTCCTCCCCAGCAAGTCATGTTCATGTGCTGAACAAATTACTATTATTATTACTATTGTTTCTACTAATTTTCCAGGAACAGAAGTTGGGCTCACGGCCTATAGTTCCCTGTGTCCCCTCTAGAGCCTTTTTTAAATCTTGTAGTCACATTGGCAACCCTCCAGTCCTCTGCTACCGTGGCTGTTTTTAGTGATAGGTTGCATACTACAGTTAAGAGCTCATCAATTGCTGATCTGAGCTCCTTCCTGACCTTAAGTGAATGCCATCGGGTCCTAGTGATTTGCTAGTGTTTAGTTTATCAGTTTCCTCTATGACCCCATCGGCTGCAACCTCAATTTGTGTCAGCTCCACTGACTTGTCCCTAGCGAGGAGTGGATCTGGTGAGGGAATCTCTTTAACATCTTCCACATACAGGGTAATAACTGATTTACTTAAAGGGGCTTAAAATATCTTCTCTGCAAGGAAAGTTTTACCTCCCCCCACCTGACAAGAGTGGCGGGGATTAAATGAGTTAACTTCAATTCTTGCTGCCTTCCCTAGAATCGATCCTAGGGCTACCCCAGCGATGTGGATGGCGAGCACATCAGTGGACTTCCCACCTGGAGGACACACAAGTGATTAGAGATACCTCTTCGATTAAAAAGAGATTTCTCCTGGGATCCTACAGACTGCCAACAGTACTGTCCCATGTTAGTCCCTGTGAAGTATCTGAATTAAACACCTTGCTGGGGAAACTATAGCGGGTAATCGGAGTTCATTGCCATTTGAACTGTGTGTGTAAATGACTGTCCTCTCCCTGTTTTGACTGGGTCAAAGCCTGGGACAAATCAGCCCTAGATTAAATGACATCTGTTTTTAGCCTTACGTCTTTGGGTACAGCCCTCAGTGCTGATCAGCCAATACAAGGGAAGTGGGGAATGTCGCTCTGAAGGAGACATTTGTTTTAATACACAGTTCACCAGTGATTGGAGAATGTTTCAAAATTAATATTCCCAACACCAGCAACTGTACAACTTTGAATACTCCCTATGCCAGGAATTGTATGCTGCATGCTAAAACCATCATCTAAAAACGTCTTGCCACTCTTACCACCTATCATAGCACGGCATTGGAGCTTTTTAACCCTTTTACCTTGGGCTAATGTTTGCTGCATGACTAAACTGTGTGTTTTAGATTGCATCAACATGTACCAACTACATATCCACGTAGCTACTATGCACAAGGTCCTATATTCTCTTTCAATTCTCCAAAGTCAAAAATAACTACAATTTTTAACATTTTCTAATAAAGTTTTAAACCTGAAGGAAAAAAAAAAAAGATAGAAGGGAAGGTTGGAAAGAAGTCTTTTCTCCTTTGAAGGCTGTGGGCGATAGCCCAGTGAGATCTAAACAGAAGTGTGTTTGGAACAATAAAAAAAACCAAAAAAACAAACCCTTCCCTTCTTCACCCTCCTCACCCATAACATACCAGCTGGTAGAAGGTAACTTGTGGCCCTTCAGCATCATACAGAAACCACCAGGTAGCTGCCCCCACTGTTGCCAGGCCAACATATACTGCAACCAAAGAGAAAGCCAGTTGTGAAGCTATAAAGCACTGGATTTATCATATGCTTCCCCATTCACTGTGTTGTTCACTAGCACAATGCAGAGGGTTCTACTTTTTTTCCCCCGAGGAGAGTGGTTTTATCCCAAAGTCATGTCTCTCAGATTCACAGATGTTAGGGTTGGAAGGGACCTCAACAGAACATCAAGTCCGACCCCCTGCCTGGGCACGAAAGAGTGCTGGGGTCAGATGACCCCAGCCAGACGCCTATCTAACCTCCTCTTAAAGACCCCCAAGGTAGGGGAGAGCACCACCTCCCTTGGAAGTCCACTCCAAATTTTGGTCACCCTTACTGTGAAGAAGCTTTTCCTGATATCTAGCCTAAATCTGCTCGCTGTCAGTTTGTGACCATTGTTCCTTGCTATCCCAAGAGGCGCCCGGCTGAACAGAGCATCTCTGATTCCTTGCCGTGCCCTGCCAATGAATTTGTAGGCGGCCACAAGATCACCTCTCAGCCTTCTCTTGCAGAGGCTGAAGAGGTTCAGGTCTCTTAGTCTCTCCTTGGACAGCTTGGCCTGCAAACCCTTAACCATATGAGGGGCCCTCCTCCTCTGGACCTTCTCGAGGTTATCCACATCCTTTTAAAAGTACGGCGCCCAAAACTGGACGCAGCACTCCAACTGTGGTCTGACCAATGCTGCATAGAGGGGAAGTATCACCTCCTTGGTTCTATTTGTCATGCATCTGCTGATGCATGATAAAGTGCGGTTAGCTTTGCTAATGATTTCGTCACACTGATTATTCATCACAGAATGAAATTTCTGCTCTCAGAGCAGCAGTATCTTAGGCTACACGAACTAAAGCTCAGTGTAAATTATCTACCACAGTTTTGGCTTGATGTCCAGAAAGAGCAGACTGGGATTAATATACCCTTTTCCTGCACTGGGTCTCGGCAGGGAACGATCCTTTGGGGAGCTGCCTCTGTTGTCTGAAAGCTCCAGTCTGAAGTAAGTAATAGATCTGCTTTGGGTATTACACCTCTCTGAACTGCCAACAGGACTGTCTTCCACTGCCTGTTCTGGTGATCTCAGTGAAGACCACACTCCTGATATAAGCAGGTTTGCAGTTACTTTACACAAGCTGAAGCCATTCACAGCACTATCTGCAGCCACAGCCTCTCACCTCCGATGGCAAGGTAGCGAAAGAAAAGCCAGCCACTGATGAGAGGCTCCCTGGGGTTGCGGGGAAGTTTATCCATGATGTCTAGGTCAGGGGGGTTGAATCCCAGAGCAGTGGCAGGGAGCCCATCAGTCACCAAGTTCACCCACAACAGCTGGACTGGGATCAGAGCTTCAGGCAATCCCAGGATAGCGGTCAGGAAGATGCTTCAATTGAAAGACACATAGACATGGCTGGTTATCTGCATCCTATGGAGACATGGGAATGCACCTGGTACAACTACAGATGAATGCAAACCAAATCCCAGGGTGTAAAATGTCCCTAAGAACTGGCACAATTTAAAATCCAAATCCAGGTTTGGATTTTGCAGGATCCAAGAGATTCGGCTTTAGCCACCCAAACCCTTGGAGAGACTGAAACCCACACTTGAACTTTGCAGTTTAAGCCCACTTTGGTGGTGAGGACTCAACTTCATATACAGTTCCTTGTATGGCAAATAAGCTGCAGTATTTTTTCTAGTCAGCAGCTGAAATGATCCTGCTGAATTCTCTAGCATGAGGGATTTCCAAAGTGAATATCAGAGAAAGGGGGGTCAAGACTGCTGCAGAACATAACAATTTGTTGAAAAGGCCCTTTGTCAGGAAACTATTTGCAGTGGGCGGACCTGCGAGGGTTATAATGGAGTCTTGCTGCATCAGACATAGAAGGCTGCACATGCATCACTGGAGCTGTGTAATGATGAGCTCAGAGCAAGATAAAGGCAACCTGTCATTTAAAGACCAGCATGCTGGCCATACTATAGTATTGAATTTAACCATAAACATGTCATAAGGCTCCCTGTATTGTAGTCAAATAGAAATTACTATAACTTATGAGCTGAGATACCCTAGTGAAGCAAATGCTGGCTGGCAGCCAAGGGGGGGGGGTGTAAAACCATGGATGAAAATATCAATGCAATTTAATTGAAGCAGAAGTCACATACTCTACTGGTGCGGCTTCCAGTAGCCTCCCAAGATGCTATGCAGATTTATACCAATAGCAGGTTCAACCTGAGGGGATTTCTGAATATTGGAAAATACACTTCTGCTCTTTTACCTATCCTTTTTCATTCTATTGTCCTAGAGAGAAGTGGGAAGGACAAGCCTTACCAAACAACCTCGCCAACATTTGATGAGATAAGGTAGCGGATGAATTGCTTCATGTTGTTGTAGATGGCTCTGCCTTCCTCAACAGCAGACACTATGGTGGAAAAGTTATCATCAGATAGCACCATCTCTGCTGCTGACTTGGCCACAGCTGTACCAGACCCCATAGCAATTCCAATCTCAGCCTTCTTCAGGGCAGGGGCATCATTGACTCCATCTCCAGTCTAGACAAAGTGAGAGTGCTTTATTAAAGGACAGGCATTTTATAGAAGAAAACCCAAGCATGAGACCAAGATTTAGACAAAAGAAAGAGAGTGTCCATTTTGCATTGGAATCGCATCTGGATGACATTCTTTTGCATAAGTATTTGACGGCAGGACTTGCACCTAATGATTACTTTTTTGACCATCACGGTATAGTAATCATATAGCTGGCCTGTCTTCAGGGGCTTTTCAAACATTTGCAAAGTGCTTTATCCACAGTCAGTTTCATGGCAGCTCTATGATGTAGGCAACTATTATTACCTAGTGGTATTTTCCCAAAATGTGGGAAAATACATTTTACTCAAGATTACACATGACTTGGAAGAGCTGGGATCAGAAATCCAAATCCCTGCTCTTAACTAGTGGACCCTGCTCCAAACCTCCAGCTCAGACTACGATCTAGACCACTTCACCTTGCAGTCTCTGTTGTAGCCAAGAGGGATGGCATTCTGTTCCTAAATGACACCTATAAATGACCAACAAGAGCCAACCCAGTAGAGACACTCCAGGTACGACTCACCATAGCTGTAATCTCATCGAAAGACTGCAGGTATTCAATTATCTTGGACTTATGAGCAGGTTCAACTCGAGCAAAGCAGCGAGCTGAATAGCAGGCCTCACGCTGAGCCTCTGGGGAAAGATCGTCAAACTCCCTTCCAGTGTAGGCCTTATCAGTCACATCCTCGGTCTCTGAGAAGATCCCGATTCTCCGGCAGATGGCCACAGCTGTCCCCTTGTTGTCCCCTGTGATCATGATGACTCGGATGCCAGCTTTTCTGCACATCTCAATGGATGAAGTCACCTCCTTGCGGGGAGGGTCCAGCATCCCCACACAGCCCACAAAGGTTAGGTTAGTCTGAGGGCAAGAGAAACAGACGCACATGAACTTTCCCATGCCCCCTCCTCTCTATGGGAACGGACCCTTATTTGCTCTTCCTGCCTTTAATTCACCCCCTAAAAGGTTAAGTCTAGGAGGCTGGTAAGTTTTGCTAAGGGCCTAATCCTGTTCCAAGCAAAGTCAATGGGAAAACTCCTACCAACTCCAACAGGCGCATACACAGACCCTAAAATGTATTGTGTCTAATTTAAAATAGCTCAGTTATACTCCAGATTTGTTACCCATTGTGCAAACCTCGACTGCATAGTTCAGCTAGTTTCTACTAATTCCAGGTTTAATACATTCTGTTCAGGTTCCTATGCTGTGCTCTTCACCATACCACCTGATCACCTCCCAGGGGCACAAAGGGCCCAGGTGCTTACTGAAAATTTAGCACACACCTAGGTGCTTTGCTGAACACAAGTCTAAGCATTGCAACTAATATCTGTCATACCATCATTGCTGGCAGCTTGGGCTCAAATTTCCACTGGGGCATTTGGAAATTAGGGTGAAGACCCAGCAGGGGAAAAAAATGTAGTTGCAGTCAGCACGGTCTGTTCTTAGGAGGGACATGGATGTAAATGAGAAAGCACAGTAAATCACATAAGATGTGAAGAAAATGATTCCCAAGCTTGGAGTTAAACCTTTTATATGGGGCTGGACATCATCCTTCTTCCGCTTCTTAAGCAACTGCTCTGAAAGGACACCTGAAAGAGGAAACCCAGCAGGTGCCTACTACGTGTTTCCCAGGCCCTACCTCATGTGGTCACTTTTAATCCTCCCTTACCTCATAATTGATGAATTTGGTGGAGTCATCCAACTGTATATCCTCTTTCTTAATAGGACTGTCCCGGGTGGCCAAAGCAAGGCAGCGCAGGGTATCAATGCCCGTTCCCCACTCCCGGATTCTGGATAATATCTTCTCCTTGGTAGAAGGTGCGAGAGGAACCCGGTTGGTGCCAATGCGGACATAGTTGCAGCGTTCGATCACACTTTCAGGGGCTCCCTGTGAAGAAGAAAAGGTGGTTGTCTACACAGAGGAACTCATTCAGAGGACAGAACAAAACAGGCAGACCTGTGTACTTCTGTTCTGGAAAAGCAGAATTAGCTTAATCCACCAAATTAGGACTGCCCAACTAGTGGCCTGCAAGCTGTATGTGGCCCGTTGGCTCTTGCCTGGCTGCCCATCAGCTCTTGTCCAGCTGGAATTAATCCTCTACTCCCCCTGCCCTGGCAGCTAGATGGGGACTGGAGTGCCCAAGCTGAGCATGTGGCAAAGGAGGGCTGCCTGCAACAGGTGGTGTGCATGGCCCAACGGGAAAGGGCAGGGGGACTGCCTGCACGGTTCATGTGGCTGGGGCAGGGCAGGGCAGTGCTGAGCTGCCACTGCGGTGCATGCAGTAGGAAGAAGGGAGGAAGGTATTGCATGTGCAGTGGAGGAGAGGGGACAGTTCATGTGGTGCATGCAGCCAGGAGGGGGAAGTCTGGCTGCTTAAGTGGTAGGGGAAGAGCCACAGGGGGCCACCTGCCCACATAGCACATGGCCCCCACAGCATGGAGCCCCCAACTAGCCAAAAGTTGGACAGTTCTGCACTAAATTTTAATCAGGAATGATCCCCACATGGATGTCTTCATTACAGAGAGCCTTTCATGACAAGTCTTAAGCAAAGCACTACTGAGTGAAAATTCTCCTAGCGATCAGCTGTAGCAAATTTTAAATCAGCCAAGCTATTAATGGCATACTGTTCTCATTGCAGGCGGTGAGCACTGGACCACTGAATGTTTTGGGAAAGAGGAAAACGTTTACTGTATGTAGCAAACCCCCAAGCGTAGCTCTCCTGGAGCTGTTCCTACCATGCTGGCACTTGCAATTCAGTTTTCTTAATACCTTTGTTTCCTCTAGGTGGCATTATCCCACTAGTTTTTAAAGAAAAGTTGGCCACTAAATGCTTCCAGTTCAGCACCTGAGGAATGTGCACAGAGAATGGGTGGCTGGTAAGATGAACTCCGTTTAGGTTACTAGACTGAGGAATCCAGTTTCAAGGGGCAGGGAGGGAAATCAGCCCCATTTAACACTTACATATCTTCACAAACACTAGACCCCTACCATAGTACCAAGTTGAGAAGTGGATGGAAATATGGACTCTGGCACTTGGGTGCTCACAAGTGTCTCAATGACCAAGGAGGATGCTCTCCACTGGATTCTTAAGAGACTTGTGTTACTAAGTCACTTATGCACCTGTGACCATTCCTCCTCGTTTCAGTGAGCACTGTAAGGTAGATCTTCATAGTTCCTCTTAAGCTACAGTAAAATGTACTGTAAAAATGACACTGCTTTCCATCCAATGAGTACACTTTCATAAATCAGGCCCTGCGGGTTAAAGCCAAACCTACAGAGCCACAGCCAAGATGCTTGTGATCCTGATGGACCGGGAAAACAGAATGTACCCAAATGAACCCCAAGTAGGAAAAACAAGAGGAAATCTTCCACAAGTCCAAAGTAAGAATAGTCCTAGAGCATCTCTTGACTTCCATGGATGCATTAAAGACAAAAAAAAGCCTGAAAAAAAGTGTACTGAAATGTTGAACAATCTTTCGAATGGCAACTAGGCCCAACCAGTAAATGCAATGGGACAAATTATCTGCTGGTGCCACTGCATTGGCTGCAGTGGTGTTATATGAACAGAGAGTTTGACTTCATTTCTCATAGGTTCACCTCTTTTCCCCATTGATGTCACAGATAATGAATTCAAACTTCCCACTGAGAACTTCTCTTTTGAGCTCTCTGCACTGCTTAGGCTGTTTTGGAAATCATCTGCTGTTGCCAAGTCCCAAACTCAGGACTCTGAAGCGAGCAAAGGAGAAAGCTATTTGAAAATACTTAAAAAAAAATATATATATAATTTTTTTTCATAGGATCTAGCAGCCTCCATATAAATCATACCCCCCCACCCCATACTAGGTGCTTTCTATATTTATAGTGAGATATAGTTCCTGTCTTTACTTGCAAATGTCTGTCTATAAATTAGAGGCAGAGACAGACCAAATGACTTGTCCAAGCTCATACTACAGGTCTGTGGCAGTGTGGGGGGGCACAGAAACCAAACCCTTCCTCTCAATGGGCCAGGTTGCCTCTCCCGTTCTAATACCAGTTTGTAGAGACCTATGGTCCCGCAGCAACCACCACACAGAAATCCTGACGTTCTCATGAGCTATGAAGTCACTCTTACTCCTGATCCACAGGGGGTGCACCTACGACTCAATTTGCGCTCAAAGACTCTTTAATGATTAAGTCAATCATGAATCACCTCTCTCCCTCCTGCTTTCCCTGGTGACTTGAAAAACTCAAGGACCAGACCTGCCAGGATAACTACCTACAAAACGGTGCTGCCATAGCAATGGCTCATCAACACCTGCTGAGGGAACAGACAAGGGGCAGAAGAAAAGAAAGGAAGGAAAGCCCAGCTGTTAGTGTTGGCTTGGGAGACAAGACCTCCATTTCCTACTTGGCCATTTGTCAGGCTAAATCTGTTAGAGCGTGAAGAATTTAAAGGGAATAACAGGGTAGTAAACCGACTGCGAAAGATGGCAGATTAACAGAGAGAAGGGGAGAGCCAGCAAGGTGTTGCAGCTGGAGGCAGCAGAGCCTGACAGAGATTCTCTACATTAGCTGCCAACAACTTTCAAATCAAGAGAGATCCATGAAGGGAAGTAGAAAGCAGCTTGAGAACAAAGCTGTGTGATATAGGCATTCAATTGCTCCCAGCATGGAGACTGCGCCTAGATTCATCAAGTAGTGAACAAAAAGGGAAAAGGCAATGAATATGGAAGGCAACTGAAGTGGTATGTACAGGAGTGGAGGTGATGTGCACTGAAAGTTCATGGACAGTGCTAGCTACATGAGAAAGGCCATGTCTGCATACAATTGCTTTCCTTGAAAACAAGAGAGGTGATAATTACACTGAAGTTGCCTTGTGATCCCAGCTGGTGAGGTCAAACCAGGAGCCCTTAATGGTGGCACCTGTATTCCCCAATGGGACTGGGAGACTACTGGAATAGTGGGACTTTTTACCTGCCTTTTCTTAGCCAATGCATGTCTTTCCTTCCTGTCAGCAAGCTGACTGCCATTAAGGTATTTGGATGCAGTGAAGCTTTCCCCCCCCACAGCGGGACACTTGTAGTAATCCATCCCGACTTCAGCTGGACTGTTACTGCAGTACGGCAAAGATTCCTCCACACCCAACTATATCAGTTTGCTAATAAGGCCAAGCCTCCAGGCCACTAGGGAAGGAGCTAAGGGAAGGTAATGAGATGCACATTTTTCTACAAGGTTGAGCCTGGGAGAATAAATGTCTCTGATAACCCAAAATGCCAAATAACCTACCACAAGCAACCGAAAGGGGAAGTGAGGCTGCTTTCCTGCACTGAAAGTAGACTTTTGAAGCCGTGTCTTTTTGCTCTTGAGCGACCTAGTCCATTTATACTGCACTTGTGGGGAACTCCGCTCCCAAGGATGTCCTGAAGTCCATTAAGACCTCAGTAACTCTCAGTGTAGTGTATCTTCCATTTGAAGACCAAACATATGTGCATGCACACACACACACAGAGCAGCCATTTAGGAAATACCAGTATTGAAAGAAATGAAGTTGCAATTTCTCTCAGAGACAAGTGTTATTGCTACTCTCTGAGTATATTAAAAGCCATATCTTGCTTTCAGCTTCATAAAGAGGCATGGAAAGAAGAATGTTATTACTATGTATAATATTAGCTTTCAGTCAGGATGGGGACACTTCAAACATCATCACAATAGTGTCCCAGGGAGGATGCTAGCTCCTTGCCTCCCTTGCTCAGTATGTAAAATAGTCAAACTCCCTCATGAAGCTTCCTGCTTTGGGTGAGGCAGTCTGTCCCCATTACCTTGACAAACATCTTGCTGCCAGTAGAGTTGTGGCCAGAACTGACAGGTGTGCAATAGACGGACATGGACTTGCGATCACGGGAAAACTCCAGGGTGTATTCTTTCTTCATCAGCTGCTTGATTACCTGTAGAGAGAGACGTGCGGAGTGCTGTGAGGAGCAGTTACCTTTAACAAATGTGGATGAAGAGACTAGCAATAGCCAGACCCCTCTTGATTTCATGCAACTGGCCTGATTAGTCAACATGTTGTATGAATGGGAGGTGGGGGGGAATAAATGCAGAAGCTGGTGTGGTTCTGTAATAGTGACAATAAGAAAAACAAAGGGGACTTTCACTTTGAGCTAATTTTAGCTACCTGCAAGCTGAAACTGCATCCAGGTGTTTTCACCTTTATGCTCAAGATCCAATGGCACAGGAACCTACTCGGTAATTAGTAGCAAACAAACAGATGGACCATCAACTCTCATCTTTTAAAACTACTTCCCACACTAAGGCAGACTCGGTCCTCAGCAGGACCAGCCCCTGCATTTCAAAACATTCTACCAGCTCCGGTATGAACTGGCGGATACAACAAATACCTTAAATTTCAAGCCAGACCATTATTGCCAAGATCAGTTTTTCAGCTTCTGCTATTATGGTGACAGTAGCTCAACATGCACGTGCACTTGTGTGTGCACACTAGCCCAGATCACCACATCAGCTATTGTCCACTGGCTTGTATTTAATACCTGGTTCTATGTGCCAATGAGTCTGAAATCCCAAAGAGCCCATTTTATTTGTGTCACAGGCTCCTACAGATTGTAAGGCTGGGCCATTCAGAAAGAAAAAAAGCAGTGGTGTTTAAGTCCTTCCAAACCATTACTCTGTCCAACTGCAGCTACCATAGTACTGGGGGGCATGGGAAGAATAGTGTTCTCCCATTTACACTGTACAATATAATCATGATATCTAGGGCTTGATCCAAACACACTGAAGCCCCCAGTTCTATTCACTGATGTCAATAGGTTCTGAGTTAGGCTCTTAAATACTTTTTTTCCCCTCCCATCGCATACCACACATCTCCGCAGATGCCTTGGGCTACACATTTTCCAATTCGGCTTAGTGAAGGACAGGTTTTGCCACTGTCCTGAAAACTTGGCATGCAGCCTGTGTCTGCTTAGCAATTAAAATCATTCAGACCAGTAGCACCTTGCAAGAAATAAGCCAAGAGAATGAATTGGACTGGAAAGCATGTCTGATGAGAGACTTAAGGTTGTTTATCTATTTAACTTATCCAAACAGAGTGAAAGGTGACTTGACCACAGTCCCTCTGTACCTACATGAAGAACAGGAGTTTGACCATAGAGGGCTCTTCAATTCTGATGGCAAACAAGAGTCAATAGGTGGAAACTGAAGCTAGACAAATTCAATCTTAAAACAAAGGCATTAACTGTTGACAGTGAGCATCATTAGCCAGCAGAAATAACTTCCACTGTAGGAATTGTCCAGTTAGGTCTGAAATTCTCTCTCCAAGAGATGCTCTAGTTCAAACAGGAATTAATTGAGGGAAGTCCGATAGCATCTCTTATACAGGTGGTTAAATTAGAAGTGCTTACACAGGTGACATTTTTTGCATGACTGGGCCCCTGAAAGTGCTCTATAGTCACGACTAACACGAGCCTGGCTGCAGAGTGCTTTTAAAATGGCCAATCACGTGAAAAATGAACCCTTGTAAAGTGAAGTAACTAGATTAAGGTGCTCTAAAGCAGGGTGCCTTAGGGAACTTGTGTTCCCTCCAGCATTAGTTTTTTTGTATGGGGATGGGGCTGTCAACAAGGCAAGGAGGTGAAAGGAAAGGGAGAAGTTGGCAGCACTGTGCTGGCTGCTCCCTCCCCCCTCTTCCCTCCCCACTGACAGCCCTGGAGCTGGAGGGGGTGAGGGGCTAGGGAGAGGGGCAGTTCAGCAGCTTCCTTGGAGGCTGCTGGAGTGCCCCTGCTTGCTGGCCAGAGCTGGTGCAGACAGGCTCCAGCCTGCCCCGGCCCACAGGTGAACATAAATTGCGCGTGGGGGAAGCAGGGAGTCTCTAATTCATGGCACTTTATGTAAAGTGCCATGAGTTAGAGTGGGGCCCTGAATGTCTGTAGGAACCCTAGCCTAGATGATCAAGGTGGTCCCTTCTTGCCTTATATTCTACAAATCTAAATTTTTGGGGAATCAAGGCATCTAAATGCCCTTGATGTCTTTGCAAAGCTCAGTTCTACTGTACAGCCTAAGACACTATTTTCAGGAGTAACTAGCAGGTCAATCTGGGACATCTGGTAGGTGGATAGTTGCTTCAGCACTTTCTAGCAAGCAAGTACTAGTCACATTTTGACATCCAGAATGACTAGAAGTTTTCTTAACATGTTGGGATTTCACTTCTCCTAAGGGCCCGGGGGGTCAGAAAACATGATCCCATCTCTAGCAGTAACTCTGGGAGAATAAGTACTGTATGGATCTAAGCAACCTTTCAAACTTATTTCATCCTTTCCTTACTCCAGCCCTAAAAGAACCACACAGAGTGTCCATTCATGCTACTTACAGAATTGCAGGCGTTGGCTCTTTCCACCTTAGAGAGGTTGCCGATATCAGTGTTGAAGACATTCATCTTTTCCACCAGGCAGGTCAGGGCTGTTTCAGTTGCTTCTCCCACTTTCTCATAGACTTTCTTTGACTGACCAGAAAGAAAGGAACACAAACTTCCAATTTCAAATTTCAAAGAAAATAGTGAGCTTCATACCCTTAGTGTCCTAAACTTGAGAATTATGTTATTTACTCCAATACCTTCCATGTTACGATAGCATAAGACACGGTCCAGAAATTTCTGGACCATCACAGCTACAACATGACACTTGCTCTACTATTATTTACCTTATCATTTGTGAGGTTCCAAGAGCATCATTTTCACTCCAAGGCAGTGGTGGGCAAAAAACAGCCCACAGTGGGTCCCCTTGGTCCTGCCGTTGCACATCTTGCAGCCCCCTGGGCACGCAGCAAGGCTGGGGTAGCTCTGCAGCTAAACTGTCTTCCTAGGCAGCCCAGGCAGCAGCAGCTCCTTCCAGCTGTCACCCCACAGGACCAGCAGGGACCCGCATGTGTAGCCCCAGCCTGGCACGCCTCATGTCTACTCCAGATTCACCCATCCAGGCTCAGCAGTGGTGGCTGCTAGGCAGAAACTGTTGCTTGGCATGGGGGAAATGTGGCCCATTCCCCTCGCCGCTGCCGGGCAGTTCTTGGTGCAGCTGCCTGGAGTCCATGCCACACCAGGCTGCTCCGCTGCCTCCAGACTGTCCAGTGGGGCGGTGGTGACAGTGCAGAGCAGCCCAGGCAGCAATGACGCAGGGCAGCCCAGCACAGTGCAGGGTCCAGCCAGTTGCACCAAGACCTGCCCAGCAGCAGCGAGAGGAAGGTGCTGCTTTTCCTCCGTACTGAGCAACAGTTTCTGCCTGTCGGCCACTGCTGCTGCCGCTGCTGAGCCTGGACGGGAAGCCAAGAGCAGCTGTGGGGCACGCTGGGCTGGGGCTGTCCGTGTGGGTCCCTGCAGGGCTAGGGCCAGTGGTGGCAGCCAAAAGGAGTCACCCCAGCCCTGCTGTGTGCCCAAGGGGCAGCAGGACACACCATGGCCAGGCAGTACAGAGCAGGTGCGGGGTGTGCTGGTGCTAAGTGCTGTTGACGGTGGTGGGGAGGCACTGCAGGGTGCATGGGGGTCTCCCATGCATATCCCACCATATGCAGCCCTCAACAGCTCACTAAAACTCATTGACCGGCCCACAAGTAGAAATAATTGCCCGTCCCTGCTCTAAGGCAATGCTGCAGTCACATCAAGAGACTGTGTTAAATGTTGAAGACCGTACTAAACAAGCTAAACTACTGCTCAAGTTCAGAATACCCTGCTGTATTGTCTGCACCACAAAAACTTTTCTGTAAGGGTCACGAGTACAATCCCAGGGAATAATTTTCAAGCACAAACACAGCTCAATTTGTGTCTGAAGAACCTGTGCCCTCAAATCTGTCACAGGGATAATTCTCCGCCTCTGATTTGTACCTATAATTATGCATGGATTCAAAGGAAGGTATAAAGATGCAGGAGCAGTCTGCATCCATAAAAAAACCACTCTTCTACAGTCCATCTCGATGCTAAAAGGAATACCTGTACAGCACAGAGAAGCCTGTCTGTGCTCAGTGCCTTTATAAGACTGTAAATGAGATACAAGATGTGACACACTCTACATTAACATTTTGACCCACACCAAGTAAGTAAGGACCTACCAAAATTGTGGCAGAAGTGTGCTGCATGGCGGCTCCTTTAATACTGGAATTTGTCCTCAGGCGTTCCCCTGCCACTGATTGGCAGAGGGGCCTCGCCGCTCACTCCTGATCAGCGGGGAGGTGAAAACTGTGGTTTAAAATATGGCACAGTTTTTGCCTCCTGCCACCAATTGGCCCAAGGGCCCCACGGCCTTGCTGCGTGTTACTGACATGCTGGGAAAAATCCCAAGATTTAAGGTGCCGCTGTGCAGCACACTTCTGCCATGATTTTGGTACGTCCCTACTGATAAGCAATGGGCACAAAGGGCACCTATACACATACACTGAGGCTGCTCGGACACGCTGTAGTTACAGTGCGTCAGAGCGGACTCAATCAATCGAGTCTGCTGAAGCGCGGCAATCACCACACTCCAGCAGACTCCAGAGTCATATGCATCACCATCCGACGAGCTTTAGTTAAAGCACCTCCACTGACGTTTTTCAGTGCGGGGCCATTGAGACATGCGATGCTCTGGGCCCTTTAATTAAAGCCCCCCTTCCCCCCAAGCACTTGTATAAGTACACAAAGTAGCTATGGGCTCAAAAATAACTAGTCCATGCCACTGCTCTATGATCTGTTTTACGCTGGGGATGGAGCATGTTGTTGGGCTGTGCTGTAAGGAACATCTTACAGTTTTACTAAGTTCATTTGGTACAACAAATATGATAATGATCCAGCCCGCTCACCTCATTATAATCCAAAGAGGAGTCATTGCAGAGAGCGCAGATAGTGGCTAATTCCACCAGACCGTCATACTGGCCACAACGAACAGGTTTTTCATCCTTCAGGCTGCAATTAAAACAAACCACTATAATAACAGTATCCTCACAATTTAACAAGTTACAGTAACACTTGAGATGGGCAATGCTGTGAAAACGCAGAGCCTGCAACAGGGGACTGGCAGTTACAAAGCTAAAGCACAGGGCTGGGATCTTCCTGATTTTACCGCAAAGGTATAGGTGCAATCAAGGGGAATTTGTGCCATACTGCTGAAAAATGGGAGCAGGCCACAGCCAAATGGATTCCCCATATGATCCACTACAAAAGGGGACCAATGAAGGTTACAACGAAGGCCCTAAACCACCTGGTTTTTGTTTACAGTCTTTTCCACTGATTCCAGTGGGCTTTGGACCAGACCTAGATTAGAAAAAATGAAAAGGTTGGTGCTAAAATGGAGAGTTGGAGAAAGACAAGGTAAAGGCAGCAGAAAACAGGATTAGGGACATTGTCAAGGAGTTTTAAGATTTCTGCATGTATGCAGCAGAGCCCAAGACTGAAAAGAAAGTCCTCCCATTCCAACCCCAAGCAATTTCTCAAGTTCCCTACAGCAGAACAGTGCACGGAGAAACATTTAAGGACAGATGACAAGTATCAAGACTGCTCTCAATTAGCTGTTCCTAAGCAAGAAACAAGCTGTACCCTTTGACGGGACATTAATAAATGGCTTTGCCTAGATGCAGCTGCAATGCAGCAGCATTTTGGCTAATTAAAGAAACACCAAGGGCTCCAAACTACATTAAGGGTGTGGTGTGGGAAGGTTTTTATAATCAGAATGTGTGGAGAGTTAAATATTCTTACGTTCTGTCCAAACAGCTTTGCATCCCAATTATAAAACTTGAATTTGTAGGATGTCTGGTATACCAAAAGAACCCCTTGTGGTTCACAAATTCCATATACAGGAGCAACCTTATGCATTCCTGAAGAGCAGCTGTGGCGCTTTATCCAGACATAACTGTACTACCCAGCTGTTTGAGATGGGAAGTGCAGAACTTCATGAAGCAGAGCAAGTTTAAATGGGCAGAACGTGGCCAAACATATTAGAGTTCAACCTGCACCCAGAGAGCTGGTGCCAAGCGTTCATGAGGAGAGGTAACATGGTCTACTGAGCAGGACAGGAGACTGGCAGACAGGAGGACACCTCTATTCTGTTCTTAGTTCTGCCATTTGCATGCTGTGTCAACTTGAATGAGTGATCTCCTGTCCCCATGTCTTTCTTCCCCTCCTGTACCGTCATATCTACTTAAGCAGATCAGGGTAGAACTGTCCCTTGAGAGGCGTATGTGCACCTCCCATCTACACGGGGCCTTGGATCTTGGTGCAAACAGAAAAATCTGACCACACGGAGATGATACAAGATCATGCGGAAAATAAGATAATGTTTCCATCAAAATGGATGCAGCAGGCTGGTTTTGCCAACTCAAACAAAGAAGGGAAAAAAAGCAGGAAAGTAACAGAGCAAACACTCCTTCGTGTCTTTTCTCCAACTGATCGCTGCAGAAATGCCAGTCTCTGTCAGTCAGGTCTGACAGATCTTCAGGGTGATCTCACCTATACCGGAGACTCCTTATTGTCTTCAGAGAACCTGTGGTGAAGAGCTGGTGTCCTGTTTGACAGGCAGATAGCATTTTATCCCATTTTTATTCCCCCCTTTTTTTTTTAAAAAAAAACCTGTCACGAGCAGCACTGTCCTTACTTCTTTGTTGCGACTGACTTGCCACAAAACCTTAGACTGATCATCCATTTGTGTCTATTCCCTCCTCCATAAAATGGAGTCAAATAGCAGCTATCACAAAACAACTGTCACGAAGTATAGTTCATTAATAGTCAGAATATTCTAAAAATCAATCACTGAAAGGCGCTGCAATAGAAAAGGCTCATTCTGTTAGATCCAACGTTAATCCAAGTTTCTGTGATGAGATGATCAGCAAGGATTCCAGCTAGTTATCATTTCGAGGGGGAGAGGTACTATTAGGTGGGATCTAGAGAGAGAACCAATTCATTCTGTGTGGGGCAGCAAGCTTGCATCGGAAGGAAAGAGCTTGCAGATGCTCCCTATTGGGAAACAAGGAACAGAGCGACTATTAGGACCCTAAATTTCTTCACGGTATTTAATAGCCAGTGACCAGGAGCAAGAGTCAAACGCAACAACAGAAATACATTCGTTATGGCCCTGAACAATTACCATTTAAGGAACCAAATGCCACTTCTCGTTTGAGCCAAGCTGCTGCATTATGGTTAAAGGACGGAGGCAGTCTTCAGGGGAAACAGGCAAGTGATTCTAACTCAAGCAGAGGTAACTGCAGGTTAGGGCTGTGTAAGCTCAGCTGGTCATCCCTTAGCTGGAAAAATAATTTGTCAGATATTCATTAGTATCAGTTTATTCCACTGCTGCTTCCCAATGGAAAGAACATGCTGGAGCCCTTGTTAGAGCTCAAGAGTGGAAAGCAGGAAAGAGCCAAGAAAGTTTGAAGAATCTGTTTGCATAGCGACAAAAAGATATGCAGTTTAGACACCGTCCGCAGACTGGCCAGAGGCTGCGATTCCCAGTCAGATGGACGAGGGATTGCCCTACTCTCGTAAAGTTTTAGGAAGTGAATACGGGGGACGACGGGATGACTTGTTGAGGCTTAAAAGATTTCTTAAACAGTTGAAGACAATTTAATATTCAAACAGTCATATCGCAGCAGACTTGCTGATACACCTAGGACAGGCCACGTGCCCTCTCTGCCTCCCTGTTCACCATTTGTACAATGAGGACACTCGCTCTCCTTTGTAAGGTTCTTTGTGACGAATAAGCGAGAACAGCTGTGGGAATTAAACAAGTGAACTCCAACCTCAAAAATACATGCATGTCTAAAAGTACTCGATCTGAAACCCACCACAGCAACTTGTCCTCAGACAGCGATTAAACATTTTCCCAAGTGACTTCAGCTCTTGTTTTTACTTCTCACAAAAACTTCTGTACATCATGGAAGCTCCTGGTAGGAAACCACGTTCTTAGAAGCAGGATTGATTGCTCCCTTATGTGGGAGGAAGGCTGACTAAGGGCTTGGGCTCAAGAGAGCTGGGTTCAGATCCTGGCTCTGCCACAGATTCCCTGTGGACTTTGGGCAAGACACTTACTCTGTGCCTTTACATGCTCCCCATCTGTCAGGCTTCCTTTCTCCAATTCTCCTGCCTGCTTAGATTGCAAGCTCTTTGGGATAGGGACTGTTTCTAGTTGTATATCCACAGCAATCACTGCTGATAAGGCTCTAGTCTCAGCTAGGGCCTTTAGAGACTACTAGAATACAAATAATTAATACTTGTTTTCTCCTGCACAGAGTGAAGTGGGTTGATGTGCTAAAGTTTTATGAACACTTGTAAAGTAATCCAATAAAAATGCACTTGGATTTATCTACATTTATCTTACCAAATGTAGATAGAACAGATGGCTACCCATGGAAAAAGTGAATTACCTTACATCCTTCTAAGTTGCTTCTTACTATGGACTACATATGGCAAACTAAACCTTTTCACTGATTTTTTTTTTCTCTTCTGAAGAGCTGCAGGCATTTAAGACTGATTGGAGAGAAGATTCAGGCCCATGTGTCCGATTGCTCTGACACAGGAAAGACCAGAGTGGTCCATCTCTAAAGAAAGTCATTATGAACAGGTTGAAGATTGGAATCCAAGAGTCATTTTAGCAACAGAAAGATTTAGAACAACATTTTGGAAGTATTTTTAGGAGGTACGGAAGAGATTGTCATGTTTCTGCAGACAACACACAGAACATCCAAAAAAGCATATAAATCAGCATGGCGCACACAACAAGAGAAAACCTCATAGCACCAACCCTGTGTTTGGTTAGAAAGCTGATGCTCAAAGGATTCAATTCCAGACAGTGCAAGGAGGGAAGAGGTGGATTTTGTGCATTAAATTAAGATTTTATTAATGGAACCGGGGGGGGAGGGGGGGGGTTCCCCAACTAACAGCAAAAACAAGCTGGGAAGAAAGTGCTAAAAAAAGACAAAAACAAAAGGACAGCATTCACCCCAAAGGGCTGCTTCCCATTAGAGGGTCTGGGCATGGCCAGGTCCCTGAAACCTAAAATAGGTCTTGCAATTTAAGAGGTTAATAGCTATGCAAGATCAGGCTCTCAGGGGGCATCATCAGCACAGCCTCTTTGAAGTTCATCAAGCTACACTGATTTGTACCAGATGAGGTCCTGGATCATTTTTTCATGAAGATTTCAATCCAAGAATCTTGGTTGCTTTATAGATATTAATGAACTCAACCTGCCAGCCTAGAATGAGTTATTGTCATTTTACAGAGAAGGGAAAAAGACAGTTTAAGGCGACTTGCTTGTGGTTGTGGAGTAAAATTCCCCAGGACGGAACATCTGGTTCCCACTCTGGTACTTTAACCACCTCTGTGCCTTTCCTAAGTTCCTAAATTTATCTCCTGCTTTACCCACTTCTCATTTAATACAGACTGCCCCCAAATACACCAAATGCCTTCCCTAAGGAGCGAGTAGGTTCCCAAACACACACTTGGGGATCCCCTCCAGATTAGGTCCAAGAAAGAGATTTCCTTAGGAAGCCCTGCTCAGGTTTTACACTAAACAAGCTGCAGTAGGACAGGTCTACTGGGAGTCTGGTGAACTCTGTGCAAGTTCCCCTCCCAGAACATGGGGTATTACCCTCCCCTGCTGAAACG